ACAAGTGTATATATATGTAAATACTAGTTGGCCCGGCTCCTCCCGACCCTGTCAAAACACTAGGATAAAGCTCCCATCCCTATCCCTGTACAACCTTTCCCTGTGCCCACTTTCTACACCAATTTCCTATTCCCGCTGTGTTAGTAATCAGCATGCTCACATACCCCATTGTGCCAACTCTCAGTCCCGTAGCTCAAATTTCGCAAAAACATCGACAAAATCGATAAAAGTAATGCATAATTTCAAAAACTAATACTGTATTCGTAATCAGCATGCTCGATTACCCCCTGTGCCAACTTCCGGCCCCGTAGCTCAAACTTCACAAAAAATCGATAAGAATCGACAAATTCGATGTCACCAATAACGAAAAGTAGCCTACGACACCCACCCCGCCCCGAAGTGTATGTGTGCCAAGTTTGGTCCGGGTCGGTTCAGAAGTGAATTTTCAATTGGGAACACACGTACATACATACAGACAGACAGACATACAAACATACAGACAAACAGACATTCAGCTTTATATATAAGATCTAATGGAGAGATCATATGCGTGAGCAAGTGCGAACTTTGCAGAATGTTTTTTTGAGCTGAAATACGATTATTTTGTTTTTTCGGAAGTTTGGATTTCTTTTTAAAACTCAATCCGGAGTAGGCCTTGCATAAACTTTCATCAGTCATTTTGTAGAGCTTGCTTTGATCTTCGAATGGTGCCCCTCCCTTAGAAATCTAGGAAGAGTAGACTTCTGCTGGTGAACATTCTGATATGAAAAGACTTATGGGACAACCTACCCTATTTTCAGGTGTATAAACCGCGGGATGGTCCTAGCTTACATCAAGCTGCTCAGCCGCCGAATGTGCTTCGAAAAGCGATCATTATGCCGTACGATTCGTCAGGCAAAACGCAGCACGGTATAGAGGGTCTATTGGTTGCGAAGTCCTTTGGGTGTTCGAGCTGGTCGGTGTAAGCTAGGACCACCACGCGGCTCATAACATGAAAATAGGGTAATAAATTTAGCAATCACTGGTGATGAAATGGGATAATCTGAAGAAAAGTGTTGTCCCACTTCCGATCAATATTGCAATTTGTTTTTTTTATGTAATGAATTAGAACATGATTATTGTACCAGAATAGGTCTTTGAAAACTAAATCTGCTTCCCTTAAATGGTTTGTGCTGAAATTGATAGTTTGTGATACTTTCCGAGAAGAGGGGCCACAACCGGAACTAGCTCTCAAAAGGCAGAGTTATGTCTTTGAAAGCTAGTTCCGGTGGTACTTCTAAAGGCTTGGTGGTTAAAGTCAAAAAAGAAGTGGTTGTTTTGAGGTTGGCGGATGTGTACGCTCCAGTAATATAGCATTACTGAATCGGAATTTCGCATAGCAACATCAAACAGCTGCGAATTAACTGATTGGTACGGATATGACAGAGCACTAAACACAACTCACTTATGAATGACCCTATGTTGAGAGCCGAGTGTAATCTGAAGGTGGCTTTTTGAAGCTAAGTTGTTTGACGAAAAATGTTTGTAGCAATATGTGAAGTACATTAGGGAGAGAAGGAGGGGCAAGAAAGGTATTTTGGTTTACTCGGAAAAGTTGCCTTTGTTCGAAAATTGGAAACAATAGGAAATCGCGCTGTGGTTAACATTTGAGCATCAAAATGAATTTTTTAGACACCTAACGAAATTTTCACTCTAAACAGACTAGATATCAGGTATATCTAAGGAAATCCGCCATTTTTCATTGAATAAATGAATATCCAATAAATTCGAAAATGATAAATTTCGAATAAACTATTATCGGATGAATTCGAGAATTAAAAATTTTTGAATGAATCCTGACTAAAATCGGAAAATCAAAAGTATCGAGGGATGAATATCCACTATCCGAATGGGGAGTCGAGTTTCGAATGAATGTTCGAATAATTTATCAAAAAACTCGAGCAACCGTATGTAAAACCTGCTGACATACCCGGCTAAAGCCGATTTATTCAGAATCAACATTCTTACTCCCTTATACAACCTCCAAGTTTTGTAGCTCAAAGTTTTACAAAAATCAGTGAAATAGATTAAGTAAATTATAATTTATGATCAGCCGTAATAAACCCGTCATTCGCGAAAAATCTCTAAAAATAGAATGGAGGCAAATGCGCAATATAGCTTTTACAAGCAAGAATGCTTACTAGTGTGGAACTCTGCGGACCAAAACCATGAGCAAGCCAAATGAAGAGAAACAGGCCTGTCAACATATTTTCTTCTAGTATATAAACGGACCACGAGCTTGAATTTGACAGCGGTTTGCTGACTTGGTGCCAATAGCAGTGCGAACTATCTCATCGATAAAAAAGCAATCAATTAATCCATATCTAATTTTAAGCTGTCGCAAAGAGTGGAGGAGTTTCCAAACAGTTCAAAGGTGATCATAGCTGCAAAAAGGAGCATTATCGAGTTTTGCGGAAAAAACGCAGACGAAGCGAGCTGTTACTCAGCAGTTGGCTCTGCAAAAAACTCGAATAATTTGGATACGGATATTATTCGAATACGAATTCGAATAAAACATTCGAATAAAGTCTGTTCGAAACTCCGTTTCTTATTGTTCCAATCGAATTTTATTGGAAAATCAGCACTTTGCTGTATAAGCTGAGCCTCAGAGAATCACGGCTCATTTTCAAAGTCATTTGTCTTTGCAACAAATCAATAGAAACCTCGTAAAGTTATGCTGTTGTATTATGACACTGCTAAACTTTTTTTGTGGAAGTAATAAGCGAGAACAAGTTGACAAAATCTTCAATGAATGTGTGCTCGCGAGTCGGCATCTATCGAAAAAACTCAAAACTTCCACATTTCATCTGTACTAATGAAAACATGCTTAGCGGAAAATGGTCCGATCTTGACCCAGCCATTCAACAAGCTGTATACCATCGGAATCGTCTTGAAACGAAATTCAAGCATATGTTTTTTACTGCCTGCCGACTATATGAGAGGAGTTTTGAGCGGTCAAATATGAGAAAATTTTCGTGCTTCGACAAATACATTTTCTTGAAAGGTAACCTGATGGCGTGGATTTACTGTGGCTATGGTTGTTTCATTTACAAGGAAGAAGCACCAAAAACTCAAACAAGTGCTTTTGAAGCCTGAATCGGGGAACATGCGCCACAGAACACTTGACAAATCGCACATGTATACGCTCATAACTCTTCGCAGATAGTCGCTTGGCAGATAATACAAATATTTGTGATCCGCGTTTCAAGGCGATCCCGATGATATATATGTTTGGTATGGCTGGGTAGAGTTCTAACCAATCCCTGCTTAAAACTGTCGTGATAAGTTTTCAGCACAACTTTGCGACGTTGCCATCGAGTTTTTGCAAAGATAAATGATTTTGAAAATAAGCCGTAATCCCTTGAGGACCTGCGAAATACCGAAAGTCTCAGCTTATACAGCGAATTGCTGCTATTCATTATGCTACATTATTAGGGTAGTAGGGCCTCCAAAAGATGGCCAAATAAGAAAGAACACATTAACCAGAGCGCCGAGCAATGAAGCGGATACTACCAGAAATGGAAACTATTACCCGGACGGGCGATTGATACATACCGCCCCTCATCGTACTGATCTAGTTAGGAGGCTATAAAAGCGATATCAACGGAAAAACAGATGATTTCCTTGCGTTCTTCCACAAAGGACTCGTTTTCCTTAGGAGTCTTTTTCGCATTGAAAGAGTTAAAAGCGTGCGCAATTAATCCATGAGAGTCCCGTGCGGAATAAGATTTGCATTAGGGCATGGTGCGCTATACTTAACCATTGTAAATAATTACGAGTATATTTCTACAAATACAATCCTTATGCCAGTTCTACGAATACAATCCTTATATCTTCCTTTCTTCCTGGTCTAAACATCTTTAATAAAACCTTATGGATCTTGCTTCACTTTCGGAGGAATCATAGCGAGTTTAAAGCAAGCCCCCTTGCTTCAAATATCAGTATGTGGACAAAATCTTCTGTGCCTACTTGTGCTCATTCCTCTTATTCATCTTATGAAAATGATATGTCTAGTGGTGTTTCTTCTACCAAAAGAAGCTGGCTCTGACTAGGGATTAAGTATCTGGAGCTAGTTTGGGTGGGGTTTTAGGGCTTAATCGGGGCTAAATTAATTGGGAAGTGGAAACAGATTTCGATGACTTGGAAACAAACGATCAACCGTGGAGACAACTTGACCTCCCCAGATGTTCTCCTGAAACCCAACATTGACTGTCTGAGGTCGTAGCCTCCAGCTTCATCCATCTTTCGTTCAGTACCTGTTTGACGGCAAAATGACTAACTTTTGGCAAGTGGAAATTTTGCAATCAAAGTTTTTGCTGAGCCATCTAAAGCTGTCTACAATCACAACACAACTAACGTTCTCTCCTATCCCTCGCAGTGAATTCCATTTGCTTTTTGTGGAACATAAAAGCTACCTGGTAATGCTTTGAAGCAGAGCGCGCGTTACATTTGCTTCTGTCTAAAATGTCAAGCAGAAGTTACCACAGACAATCTTCGGAAGAGAACAAATGCGTTTTTGGTAAGAACGCGTCAAGAATTTTAGCACTTTGGAACAGGAAGGGAAGGGGGAAGAAGTAGCAAATGGCAGTAAAGAGCAGCACTTTTCCCTCTAAACAGCCTTGAGCATGTGCGGGCAAATGTTTAACCATCACAGACTACATACGCGCGACTATATCATGTCCTAGCATGCATCAAGTCAACTTTTGGATCATGTGTTTGTAGTGCATCGTCTGTACTCTAGCAAGGTTTCCATAGGAACCCCGCTCGCGCAGTTCGCTGCCTTTTACTCGTTGCATTACGTTCACTTAGAGTGAGCGCCTCAGTTTTGCAGACTTTGAAGCATTAAGAGCGAAGCAAAGAGCTGGGACTGCAAGCGTTGGTACCTATGGGAACTGCACTGATGCAGACGATACATTTGACGTCGTCAGGCATCATATTTCACTGAGATTTTGTGATCTCACCTCTTTGAAATTAAAGCAGCACGCAGGTACTGTTTCTGCACACACCAATCCACAGCGATTTTATCAAATTCAATGATTTTGAAGAAGGCCATATCCTTTAAGCGCTGTTTGAATCCTTGCAAGCGAGGATTCAGGTTGTTGGTTATTACCTTGTTCACCTTAAAACAAAATTCTCAAAATCTTCTAGTAACTGATGAGCTGGTTCACAATGCAAACCCAAGCATATTTATCATTCGAGCAAGTAATGCTATCTCCGCCTTGCTTACTAGTCAAGCTTTTCTTGGGGCTTTCTAAGCTTGATTTGATAACACATTCGCTTCAACTTAGTAACGACTTTTGAATACCTATTCTGTGAGCTGGCCTCAGACATGTAGTATGAAGGAAAAGATAGCTGTTTTTACCGCAGGTCCATTAAAGGAACTTCGTGTTTAAAAACCTTATTATAATAATTTGTAAGTCATTTCAGTAACTCCAAAAACTCACAAAAATTATGTCATGAAGTCACACACTCTGATTTCAACAGGAAACCTCTTGCGGCATGAAAATATGATCAGGATGAGCATGAAGAGTTTTTGGATTCATACTGCAGAGTTAGGCACGAGAGCAACATACACCGCTGAAACGAGTACCTTTGCCACTTCCATATTTTACGATCTTTCGCTTAATCGCGCCAAGTGCGCAAACAGTAAGTAGGGCGCGCTTTCCTTCAAGGACGCCTGGCTGCAGTAATGGGATACGGCTCAGGAGTCACGTTTTTTCGCGAAGCGACGCTATAATGCGACTTCAAGCAGTACAAGACTCAGCCCCCGTCAGTACTCCTAACGCGATGTTACTTATGCCATTAAATCATGTATCTGCTACCCCCCCCCCCCCCACCCACTGCAGCATCGTGCCACTTTAGCACTCAATGACTCTCCAGTGCTAAAGTGGGTGCGGCGAGCGGCCACCACCGTGTGCGGTGTGATTCCTGACCCGGAGCCGCAATAATGCTACTTCGCAAAAGGAGGGGAGCAGATACAAAACTAGCTTTTACTATATATTAAACATGAAATACGTGAACATACAAGACTTTTAAAAAAACTGAAAGGTTACCTTCAGGGTGCCACTGGGGTGGCAACTGCTTGGATTGAAAAAGATTGGGCTTGCTCTTCGCATAAGTTTTTTATATATTTCGTAGTTCGTTTTATTTCCACAATGCGCGTACGTGCACATTCATACATTTACATTTCAAACCATATCTTACCTGCGTGCGTCACAAATGAGTCATTTTTCGACTTGTACTACTGCGAAATTTTCACAAGTTTGCCCCACCCTTCAGTTCTCGCAATATTCTGCATATGTTGCTTTTAGCTCTTATCCGTTATTTTATGCCATTTAGTGTCATTGGTTATGTGGGCGTTCAAACTGACAGTTGGCAACTGGCAGTTTGATAGACAAGACCTATCAAAACTAGCGCAGCGAGTAAAATCATTCGAGCAGTCAGTCTTAGAAAGCGTTTGTCATGTCTGCTGCATATATATGTATTCACGACACTGCCTGTGCTCTCAAATGACAGTGGTAAAACTAATGCATGTTTATTATTTCTACTTGGCCTTCTCAATCTGAGTCCAGGACTGTGTTTGAAATTTCGCAAGGCTGCCAAAAAAGTGCTTTTTATGACGTTTTCAGGCCTTGGCTGTTGCCGAAGGGATGGACAAGCGATTTCCGCCAAGAGGCGCGATTGGCTTTACGAACCAACCACCCGATTGCTGAATGGGTGGAGTGACATCACCTGTACACTCTCCTGCAGGCAGTCGCTGTTTTTGGCAGGAATCTCTCCTCCAGCCTCTCCAGCAACCTCCAACATTGGAAAAAGCCACCAAAAGCGCTTTTTCCAACTTCAATAAATTTTAATTACTATTTAATTCAGTGCATTCAGAAGGTCAAGAAGGGCTGAAAAACTCGCAGTCGCAATTTTCCCGAGCCACTGCCTTCAAAGGAATCTACAATCAAAATTCATGCACCCTGGATTACTAGCTAATTCAAAGCAGACCTGAGAGATACACACTGCGCTGGTCCAGCCCTAATGTAGAAGGAAATAGAACTGCGAGTTGGGAAACCTTTTAACGCTCAACCCCCTTTTTTAATCGTTCCGCCTATTCAACTGCTTCAAGACAGGTTCTGACCAGGCAAGCCAAGATGCTTACTGTGCAACGTGACACTGTTGCATAAAACTTTTCTGAACTTGAAAACTGAAATTTTCCGTGACAAATGAATGGGCTAGCCCCGAAGCACCTGTCCACCCCTGCAAGAATAAGGTTCTAGGAAGAAAATTATCCGTAGTTTTTATGCGATTTGCACATATCCAAAATAAAGAACATGAAAAGGTTTGAGATCGATAAAAATCCAAAAACCGGAGAGTTCTGATTGAATGCTTTCAACGAGTGCTCAGCAGAGCTTTGGTTTGCTCACACCTCAAATAAGAAAGGTAAATCCGGTCGTGAAGCATGCTTCCGCTACCGAGGAAATTGCTCTCAAACTCGTACGCGCAAGCCAGCTTGTGTCTAGCTACATTCGCTACCCTCGTGCCAGAACCTGTTCACAGACATTCAGGTGACCTTGCTCGTTGATGTGGATTTGGAGCAAAGAAAGTAGCTCACTTGATCTCTAATTATCTTTTCGCCAAGGTCGTTAATCATATTCCGAATTTTGTTCTTTAGTGATGAGGGTAGCATCGCATAATACCACACTTTTGGCCATTCTATTTTCAAATTCAGATTCACATTTGTTGAAGGCACAATGTTGAAGTCATTCCATCCCAGAGTAACGCGCATATTTGCGTTGTACGAGTAAAATCTGCAATGGAAACGAAATTATTTAACCTCAAAATTTTTTGATAATTATGTGCTGTAGAAACCGTTCTGCGGCACCTATACAGGTGAAAGAGAGCTGTCCATTCAGAAGTGTGTTTTGTAGAGGAGGAGAGAAGAGACTCTGCTTTAGTAAAATTTCAACATTGTTCGAAATGGCCTTGAATTTGAAATATTCAATCATCCAGTCTTCACAATTGCGAACTTAATTTCGGTGTAAATAGTAACGACGTGCAAAGCAAAGGCGACACACTAATTCCATAACTCAAATTTCGCAAAATTTTCATGAGCAATCGGGAAAATAAATGCGAAAGTAGTTTTAGCTCAAAAAGACTTTATTCATCAAGACAGTTGTTCACTCAAGTTTGAAAATCTTTAGCGGTTGCAGTGGCAGAGATAGAATTCTAATAAAACTGAGTAGCAAAATTTGTAAGCACTCACTCAAATCTTTCTGTCGCCTGCCCAAGAGTATGCTTTACCTTAATTCGGGCGCCAATATTGTAGACAATGCCGCCTAGCTGAAATTCACGGAAAATTGATAAAAAGAGAGAAAAATAATTGGGAACTCATTCGTTGCCTGAGATTTCTAATGAGTTTTTTATGTACTTCTCCCCAAGGATATATGAGTCCGACATGCTACAGTCTTGTATCCACAAGAAATAGATCATGAACATTAGGGTTGGCCATAAATATAGCGACAAGGTTTTCACCTTATATCTCAGAAAGCAAAAGTGCAAACGAATCATGAACATAGCATTTACTAAATAACAACTGGTACATTAACAATCATAAGTTACTTCTCGATTCGGCTACCTTTGGCACGGACGACAGCGCGGAGTCGCTTGGGAAAGGCGTCGATGACCGGACGCCTAATGACACCTGACAGTTAAACTCCCATAAATCCGGAGTGTAAAGGTATGTGATGTTGCGACTTCATAGGTTTTCTAGGGGTTGCCCTATCAGAAAATGTCTCAACTGTACCGATCCATTGAAACAGCGCCGAGATCCAGGCTCTTGAAAAAGCAAGTAAAAAAGCGTTTTTCGAATTTTAACAGCTCATAACTTCTTCAGAACTGCATAAAACCCCTTGCGACTTCATAGATTAGATTTTCCTTCTCAAGAGCTGTTAGATGAAATTTAATATAGAATGTACGATAGAATGTACGCTAAATGCAGCAAGTCTTGTCGCTATAATTATGGCCAACCCCGAATTCACATTAAACAAACCGAATAAAACCTTGCCTACTTTGCATCTACATGTGTGCGCTATTGACTCCGCGCAATAAAATCATGCTTTACGCCTTTCAAACTCATACTGTAAGATCTGTTCACCTAAAGTTTTAACGACGATTGTCAATGGCTTTTGAGCTGTAAGATTTTTCTCCTCAAACTTTCAAAACGTTGAAATTTGAAGGAACAGAATTTTTGTATAATCAAAGTCTAGAAAATGCTTCAAATAGGAACTGATTCAAATAGAAAATGGGATTTTTCATTTAATATAGATCAATTTGCGAATAGTAAATTAACGAAGGAACCATTAACATAACTACATGTATGATCTATGAACCACAACTATTGGAGCTAAGTAGAAAACACAGGCTTTTCCTATTTGAAAGCTCCTCGATAAAACTTATAGATTAGTTAGTTGCGCTTCGAAGCTAGAATTGGATAAGTACGGTGTTGAACAAAAGTGGTATACAACAAAAAGGGGCTTTCATTGTAAACTTTTTGTGCTTTCCCAAAATTTATGTAAGAACTAGTAGCATGACATCACTGGTAGATACCTCACATCCAATGCTTGGAGATGTCGCCGATTTGCTAGAATTTCAAGGGAAACCATTTGAAGCAGACTTCTGCTGCTTCAAATCAAACACTTAGTAGCTTCTTTTTACATCTTTAAGAGTCTGCTGCCAAATTCTCGCGTTTCCCTTTGTTCACTTTCCTACATTTTCTACAAAAGGGTGTGAAGAATTTTCTGATTTTTTCTTTTTATATTATAAGTAACTTGTGCCCCCTAAAACCCCTACCAAATCAGGGAGGTGTACGCTTCAAATATGACTCAAGCCTTTTTATAACATTTGGAGAAGCAATTTTTTTTCATGGAATTGCATATGACCTTCAAGGCCCGTATGCACGTTCATTCCCGCTGGGGATGGGAGAGGATTTAAGCGGGACGCGTCATATTTCGCTACTCTAAATATGTCTTCTTCTTTTTCTCTTTATGTTAAGGGTCTCACCTGAATGTAAGAATGGCAGAACTTTGCCATACAAACTCAGATTTTTACTGTTTCGTGTGATCTCTTGTGGGATCGCCTGGATATTATCTCTTTTAAAGCCTTCTATCTTTTCAAAAACTCAATAAGAATTAAAGTTGTACTAAGGATCTACTATGATCTGCTAAATGTTTCAACAGCACAAATGGATTGTGCAATTTGTAAGATTTCCGAAGAGCTTTAGCTCGCGAGCAGTGGTTCATCTAATAATTCAATATCCTGAGGTCTCAATTAATTCTACTAAAAATATGTGTAGCAGCGCCGTAGTAGATCCTTGGTACAGATAGATAGACAAGGAAAACTAAGGATAGTTCATTCAGCAAGATACGTGTCCCTCTTCAAATCCCGTACCCCCTTCAGCGGGATGTGCGTGCATACGGGTTAAATTCAAGTTCTCTCACAAAAGAAATTGCTGAAAAAGCATTCAAGAGTCTCTCTCTAGTCTCTAGTCTCAAGCGCAATTTATCTCAAGGATACTACTTCACCTACGGAAAAAAATCTTTTGGGGCAGTATCCATGAACATCGTGCCAGACAGTAAGCGAAATATTAGCAAGCTCGACTTCAACTTCGTACAATTTACGTTTTACGCACAGAAGAAGATACTACAATGAGAACCTCATACCATTCAAAATACCAGCCAACTCTAATACGCTAAGCTTCTAATAAACTCTGACTTGCGAACTTCATAACTTACTATGTGATGAATTCCTCCTAATTACAAAAGCCATCGTACAAATAATTGTTACTATCGTAATCGGCATTCCAATTATCTTGCTTGAGTCTCTTAGCCCAGACTAGAGGTTCGTGTAGCAAAAATTAGGCGCGGAAGGAATACAACTGTACTTTGAAGTGGAGAGTTTGAGGGCACTTCATGTACAAAATCCTAGCTCTCTAAGACTTTTCTCAAAAAGTGTACGTATGATCTACTGTCTCATTTACGGGACTGTGTCAATTGAGCGTGTGATTAGTTTCTTTGTCGAAGAAAACCTCCCCTACTACATAAATTTACAGAGCGCTGTTCAGAAAAGAACGAAGTTTTGAAATAGCATTCCATACCTCGAATATCGCAAACATCTTATGAGAAGGTCACTAACTTACCATCCTTTCGCTTTGAAAAAGTTTGAACCTCGAATCTATTGGTTGAATTTACATTCGCCAACAGATTTTGTGGAAGATAAGAGTTTGGCACGGGATGTATGAAATTCTTGACATCACTCACGTACAAACGCAGGCCGTTCCCATCCTCAAAAGAGATATCATTCACGACTGAGAACTTTTTAAAATGAATTTCATCTGCATAGACTCTCCAAGATCCATCCTGTAGAAAACCGAGGTTTGACACCAATAATCTTCAATTATTTGAGATACTCAAGTAATGTGAAGTCGAAGCTGAACTAACCTTCTCGCTTATATCTGGAAAACGAATAGATCTTACAGCGTCTTCGATAAGGTGCGTCTTTTTCTTGAGAAGCATCAAAGCTTTTGGAGATAACGTCACTGTCATAAGGTCTTTATGGTCATTGGCAAGGTAATCCTCTAAGTGGTTGTCACCACTGAAATGGAATTGGATAGTGCTTCGAAATCCCTTTTCGATTATTGGGATATTACTGCTACTCAGTTCTAAGCTGTTTGCAGATATAAGATCAGAACAAACATAAACATATCTTGTTGACAACAAAATTCAAACGCAAACAAAAGCACCATAGATGCTAATTATTGGCACAAAATTTTTTTCATCATGCCAAATACAGAGTCCGATTGCACTTCCGCATTTGCGTTCCAGGTTCTAGACAAGTTTTCAGTTCAAAGTGTTAGAATGCTCACCCATTGCCTACGCACACAAGATGTACAAAAAGTACAAAACAGGTGTCACCTAGACATTCTGAAATACAATTGTATTGTTTAATTCAGAAATCACAATAAATGACTGTTTGAGGAAACATGAACGAATTTTGAAGTTTTTCAAAACGAAAATGGAAATGGTGCGTTTGACCCAAGGAAATTATTGTAATAGAACAACCCAAACTTGTTAAATGGAAGACTTTTGTCCTCTATGGTAGCCACGCTATGATTTCACACAAAAAACACCTGCCGAATCGTAAAGCTTGAAGATGAGTGCTAAAAGCAAAAACGTTGTAAGCGTTAATGATGCATTCAACGAGAAACACTGGTTTCATTGCGTTTGGGGTTAAAAAAATTGTGAAAGCAAGTAAGCGAAGTCCGCTGTCTCGGTGCATTTTTATTGAAGTCCTCAGCTAGGGAAGCCATGTTCAAAAATAAGATTTGCGTGCTTAGTGAGCAATTAAGATACAGTGCTGGACATAATTATACAGCCACTCTTGAAATCGTCGTAATTTTTGTTCTTGTCAATGAATCTGTCTGAAACTTTGCTGTATTATGCGCGTGTCAACCTACCATGAGTCCTTAGAACGGCTTACAGTTTTGTTGAGTTTGAACGGAGAAAAACGAAAAAAATCGAAAAAGCCCTCTTTGAAAGCTGGACAAAATTATACAGCCACCTGGTTTTTCTAATCACTACCGCATTCGTTGACTCTCAAATTTTTTTGTATAATTACATCCCAAAATATGAAACATTTGCAATACCTACGGCCTGTCATCCTACTCAAATAGAAGCGATCACTGCATTTTTTGCTTCCAAAAGCACCAAAAGTCAGCCTGCTTCAACAAACAGCTGGTTTGAAAAATTTTCAAGCTCTTGTTCATTTCAAATAATAAATATGGAATCTACTGACCCTTCTGGATAGATGGGGTGAAGAGCGCTTTCGTAAACCCTGCGTAATCGCTGATTTTGACGGACAGATTCCAACCTCATCACAGGGTTGACGCACTTTTGCACCACAAAACTCAGTTTGTAATGTACACAAAGTGCTGAACTTGATTTACTACATTGCCTACATGGGGATGCAGCCTTCGCAACAACTTTCAGATTTTTCCTAATGATGCGGTAGCGATTTAGACCTGAAATACTTTCCACGAAAATTCCCTGCGAGCAGAAGATTCGATGTACCCCTAGATCTCCTTATTTCCCTCTGTGTTTCATGTCGTATTTCACCCGATGAATGAGAATGAATGAGATTAGCTAAGATTTTGAAGTTTTAAGCGTCTCTGGTTTTATCTCGTGATCTGAGTTGGCTTTCATTGTGCAGGGTGCTCCACTCAACATTGAGTAGATGTCAACTGCGGCTGAACCAGAGTGCTCAATCTCAAAAATTTTTCCCAGTCCAGCACACGAGTTCCCTGTTGTATGGTTGTCGTAATGGCTACATTACAGTGTTTTCTGTCACTTGAAGATCGAGTTTTGGGGTGCAAAAGTGCGTCAGCTCTATGGTGAGGTTGGAGTCTGTCCGGCAAAATCAGCGACTACGCAGAGTTTACGAAAGCGCTCTTCACCTCATCTATCCAGAAGGGTCAGTAGATTCCATGTTTATTATTTGAAATGAACAAGAGCTTGAAAACTTTTCAAACCAGCTGTTTGTTGAAGCAGACTGACTTTTGGTGCTTTTGGAAGCAAAAAATGCAGTGATCGCTTCTATTTGAGTAGGATGACAGGCCGTAGGTATTGCAAATGTTTCATATTTTGGGATGTAATTGTACAAAAAAATTTGAGAGTCAACGAATGCGATAGTGATTAGAAAAACCAGGTGGCTGTATAATTTTGTCCAGCTTTCAAAGAGGGCTTTTTTGATTTTTTTCGTTTTTCTGCGTTCAAACTCAACAAGACTGTAAGCCGTTCTAAGGAGTCATGGTAGGTTGATACGCGCATAATACAGCAAAGTTTCAGACAGATTCATTGACAAGAACAAAAATTACGACGATTTCTAGAGTGGCTGTATAATTATGTCCAGCACTGTATACTTACTTCTAAGAAATTGTCTTTATCAGGTTGCACCATAAAAGTGGTTAAAATTGCCCAAGGTAAAAATACCTGATATCACTCAAGTAATCAACAGGAAAAAAACTGACTTTGTGGCATACAGAATGAATGCAGTTAATAAAACAATGGATAACATTGCTGTTTGTTATGATCAGATGCTCCACATTTTATACCGAGTTAACTCCATCAAAAATCTTATTAATTGTAATATCTGCATTTATCATTCGAAACTGTATAAGCGGGTTAGTCCAAACAGCGTACTGTGACTATTAAAATGTGCTAAGACATAGACATGTTTTCCACTATGTACGAATCTTCTTTCACTGGTTATAGCGATGTCAAATGACCGAGCATGTGAAATGTTTTTGCAAGCTAGAGATTTTGAGTGTTCTTATCTCTTTTGCACGAATTTCTTCATCAGCTATTATGACTGTCAGCTGACCAGGCATGTAAAACAGCTCAGCGTTTATTACTGCTCTACTTTCTTGGTATGCAAAGCGGTAATATCCTGCAGGTTTTATGCATGGAAAGCGATTTCAGTCCGACAGCATTCTTTGACCCTCCCCTTTGGGATAAGAAGATACCGAAGTGGCAGATTGTCAAATTTTGTTCTTTGCCTATGGATTTTCCGAAAGTAGAATAAATTGGAGGAATCATACACTTGCTAATTGTCAATATAAAGTACAGTCTATAAAATAAACAAAGCTCTATGAAAACCAGATGCTCATGAAAATGAAGAAAAAGAGCTTTTAAGTGATATCACTAGTCACTAGTAACATATAACGATTTCGTGTTTACCACTTGGCCACCCCTGATCCGTGGAACACGGCAAACGAGGAGACAGCAGACGGAGAAATGAAATACACTGATCTTTGGCCTTGGATTGCTGCCAATAGTGGTATGCATTTTGACTGCCAAATTTCATAACGACTGACCGAAGCATATTTCGTAAAAGGGTCCCACGTATTACGAAATTCAATCCTGAGTTTTGAGATTGGAATGTTGAGATCGGGCCGCCAGTCGGATCTGTTATTTGGGCAAACCGTTTTTTTTTTTCATGCATGCTATTCTAGAATGTGTTGGTCAAATATATGGCGCTCCAGTGGCTCCAAGATTTCGGCTCGGGGGGGAGGGGGCTGGCGTCAGCCACGCACTCCGAAAATTTTTCTGGTGTGCTCTCTAAAATTTTCGCGGGCTCAGAACCCCGAAATTTCAGAGAAAGGGGGCGTGGCTGACGCCACGCCCCCGAAAAATTTTTTTATAAGGCTAAAATGAATTTTTAAAATTTTTTAAAAAATATTTCAATTATTTACAAGTACAAACAAGTCACTTGCGCATTTTTATAACTCATGTAAGTAACTTTCAAAAATTTCGCGACCCGTTCTCGGGGGTGTTGCGATCCTATTTGTTTTGAAGTGATGCCAAATTGCGTAGCGATATAATTCAGCTAAATTTATGTACGTTCTTGTAACTCTTGGTAAAAAGTGCTCTAGAAACATTCAACTGGGATAATTTTGCTTCTGCTTTTAGACAGGAGAGCGTGGAGTAATTGGGTCTTGCTGGTGTTTCTCTTTGACCAGGCTTGCTTTTGCTTATGTTACTCGAGTCCGCTGGCTGCTTGCTTGCAAGTAAGGTGGCACGTAGCGCTTTTTGTTTAGGCAGCAAAACAGATTTCTGTACTTTTGGGGCAGTTTTTTACAAATGGCGGTTCTCAAATGACAGAGAGGGCAATTTGAGAATATGTTGTGAGTAAATGCTCAATCTCATTGTTCTTTCCTACGAGCCGGGCACTTTCCTATGAATACGGTTACGGTCTTCAAGCGGAACGTAGGGCATTTTGAGAGCAGGAAAATAGATTTCTGTACGTTTGGGGCATTTCTTACAATTAGCAGTCCTTGAGTGGCAAGTGGGGCAATTACAGGATGCGCTGTGAGTAAATGTTTGACTTTGTTGTTTTTTCTGTGAGAGCCGTAAGATTGTTTTTTCTTATAATATCTTTACGCGGCACGTAGAGCATGTGTGGGTTGCCGAAAATTTCGTCGCTCAGAAAATATCAATTAATTAAATCTGCCCAGGCTTCGCCAAATATTGTGATGAAATAGAGCAATAGGATTCAGTAGCCATAATTTTTTGGAGGTGGAGTCTCTTTTCATAGTAAGATTGTATATTCTTCAATCTGAGGACCTATCCTGGAGGACAAGTATTGAGGCAACTGTTGTTGCTGTCAAAATTGATTTTGGAAGAAAAGCTATTGGTTTGTAGTATAAAACGTTATGGATGTTTTCCTACTTCCAAAACGATGTGTATTCCGTTAATTTCCCAGCGATTTTCATGAAATTTGTTGAGGAAAAACTGGAGTGAGCAAATTTTTTGATAGAATAGTAGGGAGGGGTCTTTTTACTAACTAAATGTTCTGTTAATTGTTGGTAGAGGTGATTTTGCAGAAAGCGTGGTATCGAAAAAATCTTTCCCACAATCTCGCATGGTTGTGGCAGCGTTTTCAAAAAACGCTGAATGATTTGCGAAGTTTTTAGCCCTCAAACAGTCCTCCTTCTTTGAAATGCTTTTTCAAAAGAATTGTCTTTAAAAAAGGAGTAAATTTATGTGGAGATATGTTTAGCAACTAAACTTAATATTGTACCTGCCCCGGCCCACTTG